TAGGGACTTGTATATTTGTGCATGTGTGTGTGTGTTCAGACCTGCTTATCTGTGCATGTGTGAGTGTATAGGGACTTGAGTATCGGTGCATGTGTGAGTGTGTAGGGATTTGCGTATCTGTGCACATGTGAGTGTGCATGGACCTGCGTATCTGTGCACGTGTGTGTGCATGGACCTGCGTATCTATGCACATGTGAGTGTGCATGGACCTGCGTATCTGTGCACATGTGAGTGTGCATGCCCTCAGGTGTGTGGGTAAGTGTGTGAGTCTGGTACTTCCTGGCCCTGACCCCTATGGCCTGGCATTCCAAGTGCTTGCTAGTTGGTGGGCTGCCCACCTCTGCCTGCTCCCCCCCACCGCTCTTTGTAACTTGCGTGCGAGGTGCAGCACTCCCCTGCCCTGCACGGCCCCCTTAGTCTCTATAACACGCTTACACCTCCTGAGCTGGGCCTGCTGGGCCAAGCGCCCTCTGGCTGCACAAGGCGATGCCTCCATTCAGGTACCTGCCCGGGACCAACGTGCTGGGCAAGAGCGCCCCCTGCTGGTCACAAACTCTCCGCTCTTTGTAACTTGCGTGCGAGGTGCAGCACTCCCCTGCCCTGCACGGCCCCCTTAGTCTCTATAACACGCTTACACCTCCTGAGCTGGGCCTGCTGGGCCAAGCGCCCTCTGGCTGCACAAGGCGATGCCTCCATTCAGGTACCTGCCCGGGACCAACGTGCTGGGCAAGAGCGCCCCCTGCTGGTCACAAACTCTCCCCCGCCCCAGACACTGGGCCCCCAGCCCAGCCAAGCACCCTCGCCGAGCCGCGAGCGAGCGAGCCCACCTGGCTAGCGTCTGGCGATCCATTTTGTAGTTGTTGATGAAGTTCATGTCCTGCAGCATGCTCAGGATGGCCTGCCGAGGGAAAGGGAGCGGGCAGCTGGCTGAGAGGCTGGAGGGGGCCAGGCTGGGCACAGAGATAACCCCCTGCACTGCTGCCTTGGTGTCTGGGAGGGCCCCGCCCGCGGGTCACGCCGGGGACTCTCCTCCCCGCTTTGGGACTGGAGCGTGGGGCACTCGTATTAAACAAAGGCCAGCGCAGCCCCGCGGTGGACGGAAGCCTCACGCTACATTAGGGCCAGCTCCGAGCCAAGGCTGTCTCAGGTACTTACCTACGCCCATCACTGTAGCATCGGGCACCTCCTGGATTCCTCCTGGCACCCCTCGGAGGCGGGACAGTGCTAGAGATGGGGCCGAGGCCCCGAGCGATGCGCCCACGTGGGCAGAGGCAGAGTCCCACATCTCAGGGCCCTAGGCTAGCCCCTAAGCCCTGGCCCATCGCCCTCTCGGGCACCCAGCTGCCCACTGCCCCGGGCAGGACCCCGGCCGCCCGGCCCCTGGGGCACTGACCATGGGCGTGTCGTCCTCGGGCAGCGAGCGCGGCGTGTAGGTGAAATCGGCGAAGCGATAATCGATGTCTTCCACGGGGCAGAGTCCCACATCTCAGGGCCCTAGGCTAGCCCCTAAGCCCTGGCCCATCGCCCTCTCGGGCACCCAGCTGCCCACTGCCCCGGGCAGGACCCCGGCCGCCCGGCCCCTGGGGCACTGACCATGGGCGTGTCGTCCTCGGGCAGCGAGCGCGGCGTGTAGGTGAAATCGGCGAAGCGATAATCGATGTCTTCCACGGGGCAGATCCCGTCGCTGAGCAGCTTCTTGTATTCATCGTCCGAGACCTGCACGCCAAGCCCCTGGGGCAGTCCATGAGCTGCTGACCCAGAGTCTGCTCCCTGTTACACTGGGGGTAAACCCAGAGTGCCACCAAGTGGACAGCCCTAGGCTTGCCCCGAGAATGCAGCCACCTCTGGGGTGAAGCACAGCAACCCAGGCAGGAGGCCGGGAGGGAGGATTAGCCAGAGAGCCACAGGGTCCCCCACCCCCACCCCTACCCATGGCTCAGTGCAGCTCCATTGCCCCCCTGGGAGCCCCCTGCCCCTGACCTTCATGTGGTACATCATCATTTCGTTGGCCAAGTGGCTTCGGTACTGGGCTTCGTGGACCTTCTTGTAGAGCAGCGACTGGAGGAGGCAAGGAGAAGGCAATCAGGGCTCTGGGCAGGCTTGCTCCTACTGCCCTTGGCACTGCCGGGCCCTGAGCCCCGGCCTGCTGTGCTCAGCACGAGTCTTTCCATGAACTCAGGCCCTTCAGTCTCCTTGGGCCTCCCGGTTCCTCCCCGGCCTCTAGCCAGCTCTGCCTACATGCTGGGCTGCGCCTGAGCTCCCCTGCCCCCAATCCCCTAAGCTGAACTCCCGCGCACATGGCCAGGCATCGCCTTCCACCCCTCCTAGGCACCGAGTGGCGACCAGACTCACATGGCCCAGCTCCAGTTACATCTCTGCTCCCTGCTTATCTCCACATTCCCCCTCCCTTCTCTACCGCTAAATGCGGCTGGCTCAGGGGAGGAACCCCCCAGACAGGGCGCAGCCTTGCAACAGCTCGGGGCAGGAAGGAAAGAGAGTCTCGTGTCCAGGCGCAGGGAGAAGTTAGGCAGACAGGACACAGGAATCCACCCCTCCTGCCCCAGACCTTTGACCCCTCCCCCCTCCAGGGCAGCCCTGCTTACATGGGCGATGCTGATCCCGCAGTAGATGGAGAAAGCCGTGGCCAGGTCCTCGTCGAACTTGCTGAACCAAGGCCCGTTGATCTTGTTGACAAGCTCGGCCACCCCGATGACCTCTGGAAAACCAGCAAGAGCTCAGTGTACCAGTGCCAGCCGGGGGGGAGAGGCCGTACAAGCCCCCTGCATTGGGGTTTGAAACCCCACTGCCCCAGATCCATGGGGACCCAGCCACATAGGGTCTGGGTCTGACCCGGGCGCTGATCCAGACTGGGACAGGGAGCCAGCCCCACCTGCCCCTCCATGTTGGTGACTCTCCAGTGACCCGCAATCTCCAGCACTGGGAGAAAAGGTCGAAGCCCCATGTGAGGCCAGCAATGGGCTGCCCAGAGGGCAGGGGATGGGGGTGTGTCCCCCCAGGTGGCGCACAGTGAAGGGGAGGCCAGGAAAGGGAACAGGAACCAGGAGGAGGGGTTTACTCCCCAGGCAGCGTGCAGACACTCCACAGTGGGACTTGAACCTACGACCTTCAGCACCTGCTACTCCCATACCACCTAGTCACACCAGCCTGCCATAGCGGAATTGACCACTAGAGGGTGAGTGCCCACAGGTGTGGGACTACCGGACACATGGCAGGGCTGGATCAGCTGTTTGTAGCACTGGTGGAGGGGGCGTTGCACGGCAGCGGGCGGCTTGACTCATCAGTGCCAGAGCCCATGGCAGCGCACCAGTGCTGCAAGGGAAGGGTCCCGGTGGCGTGGCTGTTGTGGGGGGCCACAGTGTGGTCCCACCGCAGGGCGGCTGGCCAGGCATACAGGGTGCCACGTTATCAGGGTTTTTACGTGAGCTGGCAGATCACTGTTGCACCCCCTAGTGTGCGGTTGCCTCAAATTCTGTGCAAAGTGGGCCAGGTGAGCATGGTTCCTGCGAAGGTGAGCGTCTGCAAAACATTCTTCCCCCGCCCACCTCCTCTGGAGAGCCGCACAGCAGCACTTGCGCGGCAGGTGGCTGCTCCAGCGGGCGGGGTCGGCTGAGACGGTGTGGGGAGGGAGCTCTGGGGCCGCATGGTGGGGCGGGGGGGGCCTGCTCTGGTGGCTGGGGCTGGGAATGGGACCTGCTGCATGGCTGAGGGGAGTGGGGTCTGCTTCAGCAGCCGGGAATAGGACCTGCTGCATGGCTGGGGGGGGGGCTGGGGCCCAGGCCCTGCCATGGCCACGTTACGGGGAGCGGGACATGCCACATGGCCAGGGGGAGGAGAGTGAGGTCTGCTCCAGTGGCTGGGAATGGGACCTGCCACATGGTGGTGGTGGGGGGGATTCTGCTCCAGCAGCTGGGAACATGTGTGCTAATAAACAGGGTGCCACCGTGGCACATCCAAACCCGTGCACATGCCTCTATCTTGGTGCACAAGCCCAAACTCCCTCCACTCACGGATGGAAAATCTTAGCGGGAACCCTGCCGGTGAGGTGTCCAATGAAAACTCATGCTCGGCTGACTCTGTCTTGGCCAGTGGTTCCCAACCTGTGGTCCGCGACGGTACTTCAGGGGGTCCGAGGGAAGTCTGAAATGTTTGGATCAGGCCCATCGTGATCCTTGCTTCTTTCTTTTCTTTCTTCCCATGGGGGGCGGGAGGGGAGGCGGTCTCCGTGAAATTTTACTACATTGAAAAGGGGACCGTAACCACCGGTCTAGGCTGCTTGTGTACGTGTACGATGTGGGTGTGCAGAGTTACGCCCAGGGCTTTGGATTGCTATGCCACATGTGGTCTGTCTGGGCTGGGAGGGGCGGTTACTCCATGCCACATGGACAAAGGCTGCCAGTTGAGACCTGCGCAGCACCCAATGGCCCCTTGCCTGACAAGGACACACCTGGGGGCTCCGGGGCTCCTTGCCTAGAAAAGACAGAAACTGGTTTGTGGGTCATGTGACCAGCCCAGTTTGGGAGGCACCAGCACCCAGGAGAATGGGTTTTCCCTCCGCCTGGGCAAGGTGATAAAAGTATCCTGAGGCTGCCTGCGCCTTGTCTTCAATCCTGCCCTTGGCTCCAGAGGCACCACGGGGAAGAACAGAGGGCCCTGCTGACCCATCCTACCATAGGATGGACTCCAGAGACTTGTACGCCGGCAGTTTGTACCATCTCTGCTGAGCCTGCACCAAGAACTGGGTGATCGACGTCTGTGATGGATTCTCTGTAACAATCTCACTCTCGACCTTTTGTGTCTCTGACAACGGAGTCCCTCTGCCCTCTGTCGGCAGCACGCGGGTACCTCCCAGCGGCGGGCCAGGGCAGTGTGAGGCGGCTGGGGCTGCTTCTCATCTGCAGCTGCTCTGACCGGTCGCCAGGCTCCTCTCGGAAATGAGGAACCAAGAACCGGGGGGAGGCAGCTGCAGACGTGGATGGGGGGGGGCCGCCCCAGCCCATATGTGGTGGGGAGCCACACTGTGGCGACCCAGACAGGATCCTCGCGGTCTTTGCTCTTGCACAGCCTCTGTGCCCGCCGCACTGAGGGAGCTTTGCCCACGTGCCGTGGCAGCATCCAGGGAACCACGGCCCAGCACCGCCCGGGCTCTCACCATGGTTCTCGTTCTTGATGGGGAAGCAGAGGATGTTGCGGGTCCGGAAGCCGGTGCTGTCGTCCACCCCCCGGTAGAAGAGCGGGTGGGAATAGGCGTCCTTGATGTTCAGGATCTTCCCCGTCGTGGCCACGTGACCCGCGATGCCCTGATCCGCCGGGATGCGGATTTCGTAGCTCTGAGGGGCGGGATTGACAGAGATGTGGGTCCCACACTGACCAGCCCTCCCCTGGCCCAGGCCCCCTACACGCCCATCCCCGTACAATCCCATAAGAATATAAGAACGGCAGTACTGGGTCAGACCAAAGGTCCATCCAGCCCAGTGTCCTGTCTGCCGACAGCGGCCAATGCCCAGTGCCCCAGAGGGAGTGAACCGAACAGGTAATGATCAAATGCCCTTTCTCCTGCCATCCCTCTCCACCCTCTGACAAACAGAGGCTAGGGCCACCATTCCTCACCCACCTGGCTAACAGCCATTGATGGACTTAACCTCCATGAATGTATCGAGTTCTCTTTTAACCCCTGTTATAGTCCTAGCCTTTACAACCTCCTCAGGCAAGGAGTTCCACAGGTTGACTGTGCGCTGTGTGAAGAAGAACTTCCTTTTATTTGTTTTAAACCTGCTGCCCATTAGTTTCACTTGGTAGCCCCTACTTCTTATACTATGGGCACAAGGAAATACCTTTTCCTTATTCACTTTCTCCACACCACTCATGATTTTATAGACCTCTCTCCTATCCCCCCTTAGTCTCCTCTTTTCCAGAGACTAATCCCAGCTCCTGGGATTCAGTCCCACTGTGTATCTTGGACCCTGTCCCTCCCCACCTTTGTCTCCAACCCTCGTCCAGCCTCCTGGTCCCAGCTGTGTCACTCCTGGCCTTCACACAGCAGTACCTCAGCCTGGCCGCCGGCCCCTCCTCTCCTCCTCGTGACCAGCCAGCCCTGGCTCCAGCTGGCCCCTTGGGCCTCACCTCGTCCTCGTGCCACTCCATCCTCCAGGGCCTGCCTATACTACCGTCCCCATGACGTCCCCACAGCTGCCTCTGGGGAGGATTTACCTCATCATCCACCACGCCCCCGTCAAACACCTTGGCCACCAGCTCATGGCTGAACCTGTCCAGCAGGAAAACCGAGCATCTGCAAGAGACAACCAGCCCCACCGCGGCGGCTCAGTCAGATCGCCACAGCAACCGGGCATCCATGGCGACGCAACCCCTCTAGTCACAGGGCAAAGCCCGTGGAAGGCTGACAAACAACCCCCATTGACTTCCCTCAGCTTTAGACCAAGCCCACAGCCTCTGGTTAGCACAGCTCCTGTTGGATTCTTTGAGCCAGTCCCAGGACTCTCGGGGCTCCCTTCATCCTGCTCTCTGGTGGTGGGCTCCACAGGCCTGGCCACATTACAGCTGGGGAACAACGTTCGGCTTTCCTCAGTTTCCCCGATGTCCCTTCCAGGCAAGCTGTTCTTCATTTGGCTCTTCTTCCTGCCCTAAACTACACTGAGAAGCAGCTGCCACGCTCTGTCCCAGAGGCGGCTGCATTTCTGTGGTGGACAGTGACCCCTTTGCACAGACGTGAAACACTTCGCGGCCATGTGAGATACAATTAGTGTAACCCACACTCCTATTGGGTCTGGTTCACTGTCCCATGTGGTGGCACTTAAACCACTTACAGAGAGCGAGAGACTGAGCTTGCTCTACAGCCGGAGCTGAGCGCTAGCTGGCTTTTAGCTCAAGCTGTAGAGGCTCATGCACTAAGCTCCAGGGCTATGTCTACACTCGGGGCTTCTTGCGCAAGAAATATGCAAATGAGGCGAAGCGTGGAATATCGCCGAACCTCATTTGCATACTTAATGAGCCGCCATTTTTGCAGAAGAGGCTCTTGCGCCAGAAGGAGCTGTCTACACGGCCCCTTCTCGCTCAAGAAAAACCCTCTTGCGCAATGTCACTACGCTGATTATTTTCAGGAATAACGGCATTTCGCAAGAGGGTTTTTCTTGCGCAAGAAGGGGCCGTGTAGACAGCTCCTTCTGGCGCAAGAGCCTCTTCTGCAAAAATGGCGGCTCATTAGGTATGTAAATGAGGCTCAGCGATATTCCACGCTTAGCCTCATTTGCACATTTCTCACGCAAGAAGCCGTGACTGTAGACATAGCCTAGAGGTCCCAGGTTCGGTTCCACCTGTCCGCGTTACGTCAACGGGTTTGCCAACAGCAGCATTATACATATACATTTGTGAACGGCATGTTCCTCTAGTCTGGTCCTCTCCTGTGGCTTTTCTCGTGGATGGGGGGGGAGCTGGGTCCCCCTTTCCCCCCCCCCCAAAAAAAAACTAGGGAAATTAAAACATAAAAACTGCACTTCCTGTTATATTTACAAATGCAGACACTTGACAAGGGGAAAATATAAGATTGTAAATGTGTAACCTTAACTCTGCCCCTTGAGACACAAACCTTTCACATTACCCCTAGTCCTTGTGCAGCTGTATCATTCTGCTGCAGTCTTTAGTCACACATCAGCTGTTCTGTGGCACCATAGGAGCCTCTCTCTGGGACCCAACGCTGCATGAGGCAGGAGCCAAAGAAAACATGTGTCCCCTGAGCCCTGCGTAGGCTGCATGGGGCTGAGTTTTGCTCAGCTCTAGTCTCTGCCTGTATTTCGTGTGAATCAGGCCCTCTGATGACCAGCCTTGGGAAGCCCTGTGTTTGTACCTTTGTGGGGTTGGGGATCTCAGGCGGGGGCCTCTGTGCAGCAGGTGGGTGATCTGGCTGGTGACAGGACCCCCCGTGCCCCTTGGGGCTGACTTCGCTGCTTCTCCAGGCCACAGGGTGACAGGGAGCTCAGCCGTGATCCTCTCCTTGGTCTATGCAACGCGCTGGAGGGAGCGGGCAGCTGGGCAGCGGCGTTCTAAGTGCGGCCCCTGCCCGGAGTAGGATCTGTCCCAGGCCAGGCCCAAGAGAGAGCCACCCTGATCAAAGAGATCAGGGCCCGGCTCCTCCTGAGCCGGGGGGAGTCTAGCACAGCAGCTCTGCCAGCCCGGCTCTGCTTCAGACAGGGGGATCTGAGAGGAGAACCAGGCCCCGTCGCCACGCTCAGGAAGTTGGCAGGTTTGCTGCCCTGGAGGAGCGGCGGTTCCCGGAGCTCGTCCCAGCCGCAGCAGAGACCCAGGACCGTAACCCCG